GGTTCTCGCTGGCAAACCACCGGGCGGCTGGGGAAGTGAGCGCCTTCCGCACACGACTGCGGGCAAGGCTCCGGGGACCGCACTCTGGGAAGCCACCACCTCTGCTCCGCATCGCTCTAGTTCGTTGTGTTCCTACTATTTACCCTCGGCTCGCTCAGAAAGTTCACCAACTTCCCACCCTAGGAGCCCAGACATCTCACCCCAGGGGACTTGGCTGAGAATGCCCCCAGAAAATGATTTGGAGGACATGCATTTTTGCGAATCTTGCACTGTACTTCTTCTGGGGATGTCGCGAAGTATGTCTCTCCACCTGCGAGGGCAGCCCTCTACTGTCCAGCTTGTTGGACCTGCCACTCCTCAGATCTCGGGGTCCCCCTAGAATCAGGTTCCTGGAGGCTGTCAGGACCTGTGACACCTGGAGAGGAGACCCAGCACCAATTTACAGCTCTTGCTTGGACTCTGTCCCGGGTTCCTGCTCAGTTCTCTGTGCTGTTCTAGGCTCATAAGAGCTTTACTCCCAAACCCAGTCCAAAGCAAACAAGCCTGTATATCAGGGTAGCGAGTTAATAATTGAATCTTAAATTCCTTATCTTTCGCTCTCCCTTAGTCGATGGCTGAAAACATTTTTGGTTTGTTGTTTCAATCAGAAAACGGAACTTTAACTAGTCTTAAGGATTTGCGAGGTTCTTTTAAAAGCCTGGAAAGTCAACATAAATTTGGGAAGCACCCCGGGGGCGGGGGGTGTTGAAAAAGCTTCAGAGGGCAAACTTCTCTAGCCCTTGGCAGTCCCCCACACACTCCAACCCCTAACATTCTTGCTCAGATGATGGCTTCACAGAACGACATTCCTAGTGGAGACAAGGGTCTTGTATTTATTCAGAGCTCCCATTTTATTAGATTAGCTTGGGGTGGGGTGTATCTAGAGGTAGAATCCAGACTTTGCATGACCAGGCCCTGGCTCACACTGCCTCTCCAAATGCTATGCAAAAATAGTAGCTGAAATAGAATCCCGTGGGAAGTCCACGTGAGGAAGAAGCAACAGAATACAAATACACAGTTTTCAGTCTTGGCATCTAAACTAACAGAGTGACCTATGAGTTATCAGTAAACCTTACTGCCAGTTCTGCAAGATAAACATTACGAAGCCCATTTTCCAGTGAGGGATCTGAGGCTGAAGGAGAAACCACACTTCCTAACAAAAGCGCTTGAGCCAGGCTTAAAAAAGTGTGGAGGCTAAGTTTATAGTCCATTGGTCAACTGTTTGCCTAGCAAGACAAGGTCTTGGCTCCAATCTCTACAATACTAGACTGAGAATTATCTACATTCCGTTGTATAGTATTTTCCACTTTATACTATAATAATCTATCATATTATTCATCGTATCTCAGGTTTTACTATTACAAGTTCTAAGTATAAATGCACAGTTTAAATGGATACAATTAGACACAATGGATACAAGCTGATTGCCTTTCTGCAAAGAAAACAACTATCTATTACTCTCTGGGTTGATGATGGAGATAATATGTAATTCCCACACCTTGACGTGTGATAGGTAGTCAATTCAGAGGAATAATGAAGTGTCTTACCACAAAAAAATTAAGCAAATAGTTTCCTGGTCAAACCAGATTTTTTTTAGTTCAGTCAATTTTTTTAAATTATGCTTTTATAGGTGAAAGTACTATGAGAGTTTCTATTATCTCCAATTTTTCAAGACTGCAAAGGCAGTGTAGATTTCTCCCTACATATATGTGACTGTAAACTACTGAATTGAGCATTGTTACCAACTCACAGATAACGTCTGCTGTGTTAAAAAAACTACCAGGCAAAGCATGAGTTTCCGGTGCTTCATGCTAATCCTCATAGGCATAGCTTACCAGGCATAAAATGGACTCAGTTGATGTTCAAAAGAACACTATATCAAACTGAACTTGATTCCAATGACTGGAAGGAAGAAAAGTATTTCTGAAGATGACCAGTTAGATATAGATTGTAGCACTGGACAGAATATTAAAATAGGATTAACATTATGGAACTCACAAATTACTTCCAGAACACTTATTCCTGAACATTTCCATGGCTCTTTGGTCTGTGTAAGTAGTATACATAGTTGATCCTACTATCCTACTGGCTTCTTGCGAGCTGGAGCATGATCCTTTACTCCGCTGATAGTGCCTTAATGGCAATAATCACACAATAAACCACCACAGAGAATAGACTGATGAATGTCAAGCCACCATAATCCACTTTTTGCTTCTTTGTCTTTGAGAGAATGCAAAATTACAATAGTCAGAGTTCAGGGGCCGCTAGATGGCTCAATGTATAAGGGCACTTGCACCAAGCTTGACAACTTGAGTTCAGTCCCTGAGCTACACATGGAAGAAGGAGCTAGTCAAGTCCTGAAAGCTGTCCTCTGCCTCCACAGGCCCACCACGGGACCCTACCCCCATGCACAAGCAAGAAACAAACAAGCAAACAAACAAATACATAAAATATTCAGATTTTAGAACCACCTCCTTTAAATTCTCAGTTATAACTTCCTTAGTTTTTATTTGGTTTTCATTAGTTTCATGTTCATAAAGTAAACAGGGCTGTATTGGTCAACTTTCTGTTACTGTAAGAAATACCTGAGGTAGTCAACATTTGAAGAGAGGGAAGGCTTGACTGGGTTCAGAGTTGGAGGGCTCAGTCCATGATTGATGCCTTCATTGCTGGGGGCCTGCTGGGAAGCAGGGAGTCATAGCAGATGGCAAGCTGTTTGCCTCCCAGTAAGGAGGCAAAGCAAGAAAGAAGCAGCAGCTGAGCCCCCCACATCTCCTTTAATGGCATCCCCCTAAACACCAGAATACTTTCCACAGACCTCCATTTCCTAAAGCTTCCACCACTTCTAATGTTGCCAGAGGCCGAGGGAGGCCCAAGCCTTTAAGCAACATGGGCCTTTGAGGAACTCGTATTTAAAACTGCACTCTAGAGGACTAACTGTTGCTCACTCCATGGTTGCCAGGGGAACAGGATGAGAAAATACTACATGAACTACAGAGCTCTTACTGTGCTTAGAACCTCCAGGCACCAGGGTGCTCTCTCTGCATTATTGCAATGTCAGTGACCTTTCTCTTCAACAGTTGTACCACTTGAGTAATTGCAACAGTCTAATGCAGAAACTGCATTGGACCACAAACCTGCTGATATTTGTATTTATTCTAGGAGTACTTTATCTTAGTGACTACCTGTGCTTCTATGCTTTAAAATCACATGGAATAGCAAGTAAAACACTTATCTATTCATTTCAAACCCAGAGGTGTCCTTGACTATGATGTGTTAATGACGATGGGCATGGGCATGAAACCTAAGACCCAAAGGGTTGAGAAGTAACTGAATATCTACCTTGGGAAAGCCCTCACTACTTTGGCGATACCTGATAAATCCATACTCTCTATATCTGTGCCATGTGCTTACTCCATTTATCATATCCCTTCCAGGGGACAGACAAATGACCTGAAGTCACTCTTGCTATTTGCTATCAGCTCTACATACCCCCCCCCACAGGGCGGAGGCAGGAAACTAAAGTTCATGGACATTAAATAATCTGCTCAAATCCATTGTCCAATAAGTCACAATGCGAGATGTAAAAGGCAAATTCACTGACTTAAAGATTCTTTCCCCCATCATTTCAGTTGAAAACTCCTCATGTGATTATTTCTTAGTACATATTGCACATGTGTGTGGGAGTACACGAATATGTGTATATGAAGCCCAAAAGTTGACATTGGGTTTCTTTCAAAATTGCTCTCCATTGAGCCCAGAGTTTACTAGTTTGTTTAGACTACCTGGCCAGTGAGCCCATGGGATCCACCTCTATATTGTTCTCCTAAAGCTGGAATACCTATGCAAACTTCCCACAGCCGGTTTTTGATCTGGGTGCTGGGCATCGAAACTCAGGTCCTCATGGTTGTGTGGCAAGTCCTCTACCCATGGAGTCATCTTTTCAGCCCACTTCTCAATGATGGTACATTATATTTTTTTACATGTGTATTTTCATCATGTATTACTGGGTTTTGTCAGAGGCTTACCACTAATGAATAAAAAATTTCAATAATTAGATCTTCCCTGATAAATCATAATTATTTTTATACTATGCAAGTCTGTGCTGATACACTGGCCCAAGAATGACTCTCTTCTTTGTTATCAAAGAACATATGTAACAGGTAAAATGGCATTGCTTCTCAAAATAGATGTTAATTATAAGCTTATTTCAGTAGAAAATTAAAATGAAGCACTCCTATTTGAACAAAAATAAAATGTCCCCAGTTTCAAAATGTTTTCTAAATGTATACACAGGCATTCATACTCTCTGAGAATTATGTTTTATTTTGCATTATTGTCTTTACTTAAAAAGTTACTATTGGTTGGTAGAAAATAAATTTCTAAAAGAGGTTAAATTACTAATAAAGTAGGTCTGTCTACCTTCAACCTATTGTAAACTAACAGTTAGTTCCCTCTTGGGAGTCTGTGCCACGCTCCTGTGTTGGCTGGTCTTTGAAGGCATTTTCTCATTTAATTCTCACAAAAATTCTACAAGGTAAACACAATTATCCCGGCATATAAGAATCTGCTTTCTGGTGTTAGAACAGTGCATACTATGTGATTTATGAATAGACAAAGTTTATTTAGCACTTGGTTCTGTAGGATGTACAGGTCACATATGAAGAGGGATTTCGAGTTGCATTGGAACAGGAGGTGAAATTCTGTACAAAGGATAAAACCCATGGGGTAGAGTTGCTGTTGTACCTCCTTTTAATAATAACTAGCCTATTCTATTTGTGATGGTTTTACCCTACATACAATCTACCCACCTCTCGGTGGGCAACCTCCCATACCATTGCATTGGAAATCACATTTGCAATAATGAACTGGGGAGATGCATTTCAAACTCATGCTACAAATGAGGAAACAGATATTCAAAGACACAAGGGATGATGAAGCGCTATGACTGTTATAGGGGCTCCATTCCAAGTGCCTTTTCACACCCATTAATTCTGCTGGGTGGAATGCCTCAATGGTGACTTAGAGAGAGGTAAGGATTATTGTAACAGCATCTAAGTTCCAAGGTGAGAC